CTCCTTAAGAAAACCACAAGCTTCAGCGTTGGCACCTGGGCAGTATCCCATATCACGCACGAATTCAGCGGTTTGTTTGACGCGTATATATTTTGGTGCGCCTTAGTATCAATGCTGATGTGTTCGAATAAATGAAATAGGCTTGACTGAAGGTAAACTAATCATTCAACTAATCATGATAATTTTGGAAGGCATCTCTTAGCAATAGTCTAAAGTATAACGAATACATAAATTAAGAATAGAAAACAGCTTCAAGTAGTGATATACTTAGTTCATTTCATAAATTTATTAAAAATTTGTTTTAAGTGGTGAGAAAATACTATGCCTACGTAACTGCTCTATGATGCTACTTAAATGTTTTAAGTACCAAAACAAAAATCCTAAAATAATTTGCCTAAGTAGTTGCATAACGATTCAGATAATTTAAGTTATTTCTGATGTGTAAAACATTTGTACCTTATACTAGTTCAGATTTCTTACAACAGACGAATACATAACATATTAATGAGGAACTTTTCAATTTCGAAATCTAAACGACCATTACATTTCGAGTAATTGGATCATGTCTACCTTATAAAATGTAAGTTCAGGTCTAACAAATAAATTGCCTACAAATAGATGCTATCACAGTGAGATAACCATTAGATCTAGAACTGGCTGATTTCGTCCTAATGAATATTTAGAATAGAGCTCCTAATTACTTACTAACGCCTGTTACTCCTAATGAAGTATTGGGGCATTCTCCAACCGACTCTGTCTCCTACTTTCGGCTCAACAAGTCCCTTCACCTACCTACTTCTACTTTACCACCCTTTATTTGTCTGAGAGCCATGCTAATCTCTTCAATTTTTGGTGGGCCAACATTGATTGGAAGGTCCATAGGTGCTGCTCTGATGTTGGGTGGGTTCATTGGGGCTGGTCGATTCAAGAGTTCTTCGAGGTCCTCCACCCTCCTGTTTTGCTGTTCTCCAATGTCGAATATTGGCTTATCTTCTGTACTCTTGAATCGTTGTGCTGGTTTACTATATTTTACATCCGGTTGTATCATATATCTACACTTGACTGACGTGCTTACTTCTGTGTGTTCAGCTTGTGCCTTGGCTTTCTCCGATCTTGTTCGACTGATTTCTGAATTCCTGTTTCTCCTTTCTTTAAATTTATCCAGAGTATCGACAGAGATCCATTCCTTGTGATGGCGCTTCTTGTGGCCCGAAACCTCACAAAACGTTGAAGTTATGGCTTCGTTGATCACTTCCCAGTTTTCATCCATGGTAGTTTCTTTTCACTGAGTAGGTCGTGAAATGCTTCAAAGGTATTGCTGTGGCCTATCTTGAATTAGTTAAGTTTGTCAGTATCCTGAAGAAAGGCCGTATTAAACGCTTGTGATGCTGTTCATTCGGTTGTCCAGTGCTTCTTTAGTTTCAGTTTCTTCTTGGCTACTACCACTTGATTATCTGAAGCTATGTCAGCTTCTCTCTCTGTGCTCCCATCCTCTATGGTCCTTCTGAACTTTGTACTAATGCAGATATGATCGATTTCGTTCTGTGTTGTGTAATGCAGTGGAACTCATGTAGCTTTGTGCATGGGTTAGTATGGGAATCTAGTGCCTCCTATGACCGGTCTGTTGAAGGCACATCGATTTAGCGAATATCTCATCGTTTTCTTTCTTTTCACCCAGTTGATGTCTTCTAGTCCATTTTGTCCAATGACATCTTCATAGCCAGTGTCGTGTATTCCCATATTGGTGTTTAGATCTTCCATTAGAATGGTCAAGTCCTTTGTTGGGTACCTATATACCATGGGCTGCACACTCTCATGTTCTTTCACATCATGATTGTTATCCTTGTTAGACGCATAGCAGTGAATGATGTTCATTATGGTTCCCTCTTTCTTTGATTTGAAGGAGGTTTTTATGATCCTGGACATCCTCGGTGCAACTTTTTGTGTGTGTTTGGCATTTTCTTCTTATTCATGGCCGGAGAGTAACAACATCTTTTCCTGAAGCTAGTCTTTTTTTTTCCAGCTTGCCTCTAACAGGTTTCACTTTTCCTAAGCGCCGTCAGTTTGAGCTTTTGTAATTCCGATGCAACTTGAATGGTTTTTCCGGTCTTCCATACTGTGCATATGTTCATGTGCCTATTTTAATTGTTCCTTAGGTTTCGAGAAGCGGAATCGGTGTTGTAACTTCAGAGGAATCTCGTCGTTCATCATAAGGAGTGATAAATCTTATAAATGAAGACGTTCCAACCGTCAAAACGGAGTTTAAGTGGTTTGGACTATTTATTGTTATTAATGTTCTTTAGGAAGTTGGTTTTCTATAGGATGAGGTCACTGTATCCATGTCCAATCCTCCTCTTTTATCCGGTCTTAGAACAGGCAGTTATCCCAGAAGGACTCCAGGCTGTTAGAAAGGTTAATAACATCTAATCGCTCATAGGAAGTACCATAAGACCATTCACAATTTCTGATAACGGTTATCCCTTTGAGATTTTACCTAAGATTCTTAATGAATGGAAATCGCTCAACTTATTTATTTTGAAAGAAGTAACTTCCAACGTCTTGTTTCTGTATGTTCTACTGACAGGGAGAATTTATTAAGTACCTACATTCTTCAGCTTTTTTTAGACATTTTATAGTCCCTATGTTTTGTTAACCGCCAGTAAATATTATCTACATTTTTATCATATATTGATAAATATATAGGTTCATATTTCGTCACGGTGATAGTATGTAACCTAAGGAATTCACAGAAAAATCAGTTTGAGAACGAACAACATTTGATAAATACAGTAAATTCATTGTATTTCGCTTCATTTTGTTCAGATACATATATATTGAGTTTTTATCATTTCAATATTTACTTAAACAATGACGTACATAGAAATTAAGAAATATATTTTTACGTCAAAGAATATAGATTTATAGTTTTAGGTTTGAAATTACTGAATGGTAATAATCGTGAGAAAAATGAGATAAAGAAAATTGCTTCTGTTCATCAATGTTGCTGAAGTAATTTCTGTAGATCACTTCTAATTTCATTGAAAAAAAAACTTTCTGACCAAGTTACTGACTGATGAATAATTTCAAAGTATTTTATTCATTTTTTCTGAAGGATTATATGGAGGTTAGTTTAATGAATAGATCATATTTGTGATGAATTGATCCAAATTGGAATATCGTTCAAGACTATGAAGCGCTTCACAAGTTAGCTATCTAAGTACAGGATTCATCAACAGTATCCACACAAGGTTCTTTCTAACACTAACAAAAAAGCTGAACATACTCTACAAGATCTGAAGGTTCTAAGTTCCACTAATGACAACATTTTGGATACATACTCCTGACAAATACCATACTACAACTAAACACTTACACAGTACTCATCAGCTTTTCAATAGAACTTCAAATAATCCCAAACCCCAAAGAATACCGTTTATCAGTGTTATGAATTAATGAAAAACTGAATTAGCTTTATATGTAATTGAGAAGAATTACAACTAACTGCAACGAATTCATCATATTCAATAAAAATTATTGTTATGAATATATAAACCTAAAGTTTTAAATATACATCAAACTTATTACAACTAGTTCAGTTTCATCAAATTAATATCAATCATTATCAATGCATTCAAGTGAACAAATGTAATAAGTTATTTTAAACAGAGTTCGATTGTCATTTATAGTGGAATCCAGGACGTGTATCTCGTTCTACTTGGGAATCACCAGTTGGATGTACCTGAACATGTGCTGATGTTCACACAGAGACTTGAACTTGGAACTTTTTACTTCAAGCAATCAACACATTCTCCACTTAATTTCTGAGTTCCAAAAGCTACTGGGTATAGGTCTAAGATTCCTCTACTAGCCGCTATCCAACTCTTCTTAAAATGCTTGTAACTTAACGGCAACATTGAGGTAATCCGCATGAGTTGAGTATTGTCAAGAGGAACTGCTCAGTAGCAGTTCTTACTGTATTCGACGAAAAGATTCAAATAACCATTAAAATGAGTTTTTAGGTTGCTTTCTGTAAGATAAATCTTTTCTTGTCTTATGAAATACCCTACCATTTTACCGGACAAATACATATACCAACTTACTTTGTCAAGCGATAACATCAACTCACATCAATAATAAATTTATAGTTTAGCTTGTGGTGCGCGCTACTTATAAGTAGTATATGACGCGAGTGTAAACTTAATGTCTGGCAGCAGAAGATGAGGGAAGATCAAGAAAGGAAGAGTGGGAACACAATGGAATTTGTATGAAACGCATGAATAGTGAAATGTCAGACAATGGATTGATGATGGATTGAAGATTTGCAAATTTACGGTTACGATATGGTTTTCCTATTTTACTGACTAAGTCTGTAATTTTCGTTAAATACAATTCGGTTGCCCTCACCTGTGTACTCCTTCACTACAAGCTAAACATATATTAATTAATTAATTAATTTTAACAACTGGTCTTCTCAATTCTTAAGTATTATTAATTCCAATATAATCGATTATCTAAATTGTGAATTCTATCAAAATTTGATTGTCTCATTGTACTCACTCATTAGTCAAACTGTGAAGTACTTAGCATAGACTTATTGAATGCTTCGATCGGAATAAAAAAAAGTGTTGTTCTTCTTTTTTTTCTTCTTTCGGTTACCTAAAAATACCTAAAATGATTGGTAATGTAAAACACCAATCAATAATTGAAAAAGATAATAATAAACAATAGAGAGTTTTTTCTGGTGAAGATTTACAATTTCTTTTGTATGTGTCAATTTGTTCTCAAAATCAATAATGCAACTGAAAAAAAAAATCATATGATATTATGTGGTAACATAAATATCCTATTTTGTATTGGTTCAATGAATAATTCATAACACACATATAATGATTAACTCACATTACACAACAACAATAACACTACCAGTGAGAAGTACAATAAAAAACAGAATAAATTATCACGTATAAATACAATTTAATTGCAAATTATAGTTTTCAATAATACTTCACTTCATTCATTTTACATCATGTCAAAGGATAGAGCAATTGCTATACCTGTTCATCGTGATAATAGAACATTTGAACAATATAGAAAAGATTTTTTAAAAGATATAGAAAATTTTCCAAATCATAGAAATAGAATTCTACCATATCATCATGATGATTGGTTCAATGAAGTAGATGATTGGATTAAATCATCTTGGAAAAGATGGGATGATGAAATGAAACGTATTAGAAATGGAATGTTTCAGTTAATGGTATGTCAATATATGTATGTATGTATGTATGTATGTATTTTCTGATTAATTTATAACAAGAAAATCAATAGATTTTATTTATAATAGTAGATTTAGTCAAGATAGCCATATGATTCACAAAGAACTTGTATATTCGACAGTATCGCTGGCTGTTTTTTTAATTCTCAACTTTAAAAATAGGACACTAGGAGGTAAACGATATAAACTGTTTTAGATAAATCAAGAAGAGAATTTCATCCGATGAATGAAGTTATATAATATGTTCACTGTTGACTAATTTCGAAAGTTCATTGTAAGCGTTCTAACAGAAAGCTGTGAACAGTGGAGTTCAGTCATGTTGCGTGCGATTCAACTACACGCTCACAATATTAAAATCTAGTTGAGCAATATCACTGAATGATTGAAGTTAGACACGTAAACGAGTGAATGACAACTTACTGGTATCACGTTGTCTGCCAGATCTGAAGGTCCTGATTTCGATGCTTGATTCCAGTCACTGATATTTACTAATCAGAAGTTGTTTACTAAGATGAAATAAATATCAGTGGTGTAAACTTTAAAACTTGAAATTCTCTAAAAAAAACACTCTAATGATGATTCACGATTTCAATGTAAAAACAACGATCTCCTATAACTCTAATAATGAAAAAAGATCTTAAATAAGCTGAAAAATTATATTCACATAAACAATAATTGGTTTACAATAAATTCTGTAGTTTATTGTAATGTCACAAACTGTAGAATATGATTATATGAGTTTACACACTTTGATGATACGTGCTAATCTACATTAAATCTAAATTCAACGTACGTGTTAGCTTCAAAAGAAAAAAAAAATGGGTATAGCTTAATGGCTGCTAAAATCGAAATGTGATCCATAGAGCCTGAACACTAATAAAGACTAGATAACTATGCGATGATCGATTAGCGTAAGGTTTTATATGCCATGATGATTAGTTCAGGTTAAAAGTGTAGTTAAAACAGATTAGAAATGAAATAACTAACGCCCTATTTATTACATTAAGAACCAAATCATCCAGTAAGTATCATTCTCTATAGTAAGTTAAAATATCTTGGTCTACGTAGAAGTATCAACTACATTTTCATTTTCATGTTATATGAATGATACTTTTCATGTACTTAATAAATATCATTGTATTAACTGTAAGATTGTTTGTTTGTTTGTTTTTCCTTAATTCAAAAAAAAATTATGATAGCCATTGGATAATTTTGGTTTAAACAAATGGGATATGTTTGACGATTCATTTGATCCGAATAATTTAATTAAAAAAATGGAAAACTCTATACAAGAATTTCGTCGGGAAATGGGTATAAATGATGCACCTTTAACTGGATCATTAAATGACTTCTTAAAAGATGCCTATGAAGTTGGTAAAGATGGAAAGGTAAGCGTGATTAATTAATCTGTAATAATAATTTTTAAGGCAGAGTTTTGGAGACGTTTTTGTGTGTTTACACATTTGAAATCATCAGTCAATCATTGTTAGACCACCATTAGAAACCTGGAAGTACTGCACGACGGCCGTTTCATCATGGTATGGGACTCATCAGTGGCAGTGCGCATTCACGACTCCTGTACCTCGCAGGATTCGAACCCGGGACCTTCGGTATTGTGCGCGAACGCCTAACCATCGGACCACTGGGCCGGGATGCAACGGTGTTAATGTCTAACTCTGATTGATCTAAGGATTTTGCGCGACCTCACCCCTTTGTCTTTGGTAGTTACTGCCTAACAATGATTGATTGCTGATTTCAAATGTGAATAATTTTTAAACAAACAAATACTAATATCATGTCTTTTTTCTTTCTTTTTTTCAAATAATCAATAATTCAATAGGTTTATTTCAAAGTTAGATTTAATGTAAAAGGCTTTTCACCGGAAGATATCAATGTCAACACTACAGATAATCGTGTGGTAGTCAGTGCTAAAAAAGTGACCGAAACTGGTACATCAAAGAGTTCACGTCAATTCTGCCGTATGATTGACTTACCACAATCAATTGAACAAACAAAATTAGAATGTCATTTAACAGACGTAAGTAATGGATTTTTAACATAAATTAGTTGATGTATCATTCGCAAGTCATTTATTATGATATTTATAGGGGTAGGTACTTTTCTGTTTGTTACTATTCAGAATGTGAGTTTAACCTATTTCTATTAGACGTACGGTTTTTTTTCAGCTAGTGTATCAGTACCGTTTGTTTTAACATTTGGTTGAATTTTTTAAGAGAACAATTGGAAGCAGAGTCCAAGATGTGTATTTAATCGTGACTTGGCCTATTTGGTGACACTCAAGTTTTATATTGGTAGATACTGGATTTAAGATACAGTTTGAATGTCAATACTAGGAAGGAGATAAGTTGAAGCTGAAAAGTTTCTATTTAATAAGAAAAATACATTTTGGATTCCCTCCCATTGCTCACTATCTAAAAGTATGGCCATAAGTGGTTTATTGATACTGTTTTAAACCAATGAATGCTCTTTATTTGATAATGACAGTGAAGTAGATTATTATTACCTTCATACATAATTTTGATTTTAACTGTTTCTAAACATAGATAACGTGAATTAGACTAGATTTCTGTTTATATGGTAAATAAATCTCAACATATATTAAACTCGCTTGATAATACGTATACTATTTCTCAATTATCGTTAACATTTTTGATTTTGACCAATTTGGTCTCGTGTGCTATTACGGGTATGAGGGCGGTTGTCACTTCCCGGCTGCCCACACCGTGGAAGGTTGTTTCTTGAGGGACCTGAAAAGGAAGATAGATTAGTGTTGGTGTTGGAGACCTGGGTGCGTGACCGAAGAGCTCAGGGGACAACTGCTTGAGGCCGGTCACGTTCGGCCTTTCTGTTAAAGGTTTTTTGAGTATTACTTCACATTACTTCACATTCAAGTAAAATCTACTGATATCTGTTTCATTTTCCATTGTAGGATGGAGTTTTATTATTAGAAGCTCCAGTAAAATCAAATAATCATAAATCAGTTACATTTAATGATCAACGTCAACTTGCCATTCGACCTGCATCAAATAGTCATACTGGAAATGTAACACCATCGAAAGCTTTGATTGTTAAAGGTAATTTGTTTGTTTTGTTTTTTTTTGTTCAACAACAAAAATGTACTTTTTGATTTGTAACTTGAAAAGAAAACAACTCATTCAAAGCTCTTATTTTGTAAATTTTAATAGGTATCAATGGTTTAACAATAATTGATGAAGGTTTCAAAGGTAAACGACTTCATGTTGAAATACCAATTGATCCAATGTATAAATCTGATGATATATGTGTTCATGTTGATTCTAATCGTTTAGTAGTATCTGGTCGACATTCAAAATATGATAGCCGTAGTCCACGTTGGACAAACAATAATCCATCTGCTGAATTTTCACATTCATACGATATTCCGCATAGAGTTGATCCATTATCAGTCACTTCACAAATGGTTGGCAACACATTGGTAGTTGAAGCTCCAATAATGAGATCTTATTAATATTTTCTTTTGTGAAAAAAAAACATGTAGAAGAATCTCAATGTCAATTTGAAATCTTAATGTCTGTTGTTTATTCACTGTCTACAAGAATGTTACACTTTAAATTAGACATATATAAATTTTTGATATTTTACTAACCGTTGAAATGTGTTCTTATTTATTTATTCATTTGAAAACATTGAATTGTAATAATTTTTGTCATGATTGGTGTTTATACTTTTTTTAAGTAGTGCTAATTGTAAATAACAACAAATTAATAGATTATTTTGTTTTGAGTTTGATGCCTATGCCATAACTGAAAATTCAATTGATCTGTTTACTATCATCATGACTCATAATACATTCAAACTAGTCAGTCAGCCAGTTGCAACGTAGAACTACGTACGTATGTACATAAGTTCATGTTGCCATACCACATTAGCAGAGAGACTCAAATGTCAAATCAAATTCCATAGTGATAAAGATAGTAGAGGTATTAACGGTAATGAAGAAGACTAGAGTTTGAAGATATTATTGAAGAAATATAATTCAGTGAGATAAGGTTAGAAAGACAAAGGTAGAGGTGCTGACAAATCCAGAAGATTAGGATTTGAGAGATCTCAACGAATGGATGCACTTGCGCCATTGCAAACGATTTTGAGACATGTCGTTCAAGGTCTCTAACCATTGTTGACTTTCGTCTCACGGACCCCAACCAGGTAGTCTACATCTACTAACATCACTCAGTCCACTTGTCAGTGACTTCAAACTAAGCATTCATTTAATATAGAATGATTTATTCATTTTAATCATAGAGTATCGATAATGGTATCTAAATAGCTTTGTTAATAATATTTTTTATTACATCACGACTGAACAGTGACAACACACAAAAGCTTCACAACTCAAATCCAAGGAAGTGATGAACACTACAAATAGACATAGACATTCCGAAATTAAACTGAAATCAGAATTAGAATTATTAGAATAATGAAATAACATTCTTCAATCATGACTCAGTCGGTTAGAAGATTTATCGAATACACAATAAGGGTTGAAAATACTTTGATCGAAATTGATACGAGTAGAACGATAGCTAAATTAGCCTGGTGTAGCTATGGCAACATAAAAATTATGGTGAAAACTGCGAACAGTCAACATACCAAATGATTGAAATTACTTTCTAGGTTATTTGCAAAATTTTAGTGTAAGTTGCAACTACAACAATAAGTGTGTGGTGTCATTTACTTACTAAACGAAAAGAAAATATTTCAAATATAATTCTGAAGTAGTTAGGTGACAAAAAAGCATCAAAATAACCTAGAGTTATTATCAACTATATTTAATAAACAAACTTAATTACTGAATGAATGAACACAAAGAGTACCATTATAATTTATTGATCAGTTACATTTGAACATCGAACCATCCGTTTTCAGTCATTAATTTTAATGCGTAATATATGAAAAGTTAAATGTATATATTTGAAAAGAACATAAATAATGTTTAATGAAGAAAAAAAAGATATCTTTGAGATTAGGAGAGAAAAAATGTCACAATCTATGGTGTCTATAGTAAGATAAGTAACTTCGTTTTTCTCAGTTCACAGTTAAACTATTACATTTTCAATTACTGACCACTGTAATGAATAGTAATGCACACTGTTGACGAGTCCCATACCAGGACGAAACGGCCGTCGTGCAGCGCTTCCAGGTTTCCTAATAGTGGTCTAACAATGATTGATTGATGATTTCAAGTGTGTAAAAACACAAACCTCCCAAACTCTTCCCGAAAATAATAATTATGTCGCTTAGTTGAAACTATATTATCACTATACAAAACTCACTTGAGATTTGATTCAACTATGGGTATATCTCACTGTAAGCATAGATTATCACTTATCCAGCTGATTGACATTTTTTTCAGAACTAGTACAAACAACATATCCTAAGAAGAACTCGTTATTTGAATACTTGTCTTTAAAGCCCTATCTAAACGTTTAGTTATTTATTCAACCGTAGAAATAATCTACTGTTTTATAATGTTTGAAATCGTCAGTCAGTAATAAATAAATCAGGAAACTATTCAATGGCGTTAATAGAGATGAACTTAGCTTGTGGCAGTTAGTTGTTTGCTTAACATAAAAATTTTCTATCAAATCCAGTCGGATACCTCAATCTCATTACAAAAATAACCAATCAGAAACATAACACTTAAAAAAAATGGAGATATGTATGCAGAAATATCATTCCTCCTAACATTGATGATATGAATTAACAATGTGTAATAGCATTCACGATAATCTACTTTTCCAGAAAATTGATTTCCTGTAAATTTTCAGTTAGAAAGTACTTGTAGGATTTAATTTTTTGTACAGACAGTTATGTCAGAGTCTTAGAGAAACTGTTAGTTAAAACAATGAGAAAAACTGAGTCCTAAAGTGAGTATCAACTCTTAGATAAAGGTACATTTGTAGTGTGTCGATTTACTGCGTGTTCTTAAGCTCGGTAATTAGCTCGTCTAGACAATCGTTACTAACTAGAGTCTGACGGTTTATAAATTAGAAGGCGAACTCGTAGTGTTGAATAGGTTTATTTGGGACACACCACAAAGCGAAGCGGAGAAGCAGTGAGTAAAACAAATGAAGTGACGTTAATTGGAGAAGGCTGTTGAGCCAACTTCAAGAGAAAGAGCCTGACTAAGAATATTTAGTCAGACAAAAATAAGACAGACATATGACAAGCGAAATAGGTATGCACACACATGAATAAAAGCGGCGTATGATTGACAAGGCCAAAAGCAAGCTATACAAATCATGTGAGATCATGGGGATATTAAGAGATCAACATTAAAGCGAAAAGGATGAGTAAGCGCGTAGGCGTAAGCAATGCTCAGTCGTACAAGCTCATACAAACCAGACAATAAAAAATACCAATGGTACATAGGGTTGTTGCTATACGAATAGCTTGGTTACATAAGTTAATCGAAAAGCTTAATCAAATTAAATATGAGCGAACTCAAATTTATGTGGAGGCACTACACATTCAACTGATAAATCCGAAACAGAGAGAAATAAGCCTCTAGGATTCTATTGCTAGCCGCAATCTATCTTTTCTAAATAAAAAAAGACTTAACATAGTATAATATGATTGTATGAACAGGAAACAATTGAGTGATACTAAAACGAAGAATCATCAGCCTGCTAGGCAGAGTATGTAACGTATAGACAATTTATGAGTACTGATTAGAATTGTGAAAAGATTGACATATTCATTGTTTCGAAGTCAATTGAAGATATGGTAGGTCAAGGTCAGTATAGGGTTATTAAAGTACAACTTGATCTATCACATGCTTATTTGTGGGCTTGACTATCAGTTTTGATTCCCATACTACAAATATTGTTACTTCTAGTTAACCTAGGTCTTTATGTTGAGTCCTCAAACATACGATCCTGACTTATGCATTATGACCACTCATAGAACACGTTTAGTGGTAGCTTTCGCATATGGTCTTATTGGGAAAACTGACTACCCCAAGTCTTAGCTTAATTAATACGTTGGGTTATTAAGGTTTTGTAGTGAAGGAGAACACAGGTGGGGCAATCGAATTGTATTTAACGAAAATTACAGAGTTACTCAGTAAAATCGGAAAACCATATCGGCTGTTCCTCTTGCAAAACATCAATCCATTGTCACTATTCATGCGTTTCATACAAATTCCATTGTGTTCTAACTCTTCCTTTCTTGATGTTCCCCCATCTTCTGCTGCCAGACATTACGTTGACACTCACGTCATATACTACGTATAAGTAGCTCACACCACAGTTTGATCTGATGTATCAGTAAAAATTGTGCCTCTTTTCATCATCTATCATATACCAACATTTTCTTTGCCCTTGTGTTTTCCACTGAAAATCTTTTATATATAAACAACCAGGAACAAATGTATTATCACATTCACCTAATATGTTACAAGCAGTCAGTTTCTGGTTATTGCCACCACGTCAATTAAATATGCCTATGACCGTTAGTCAGTTACTATTCTTTGCAACAATAATCATCATAGAATCCTTAAATTATTCTAATCTTAAACCTAAAAAGTTAGTCCCTAGCTGGCATAAACTATTCAGAACGTGATTCGCTTGTGATAAATATCTGCTTTTTTGTGTGATCGTTTCTTACAATCAGCACTGATAAATCACACATTATTTAAGCAGTGTTTAGAAAGTATGATCGTTTTGATTTGAAAAAAAAAACAACTTAAACATCGAGCCATAACGTTCCTTGATAACTTTTCTCTTTTAGTATATGACTGTCCAAAATGATCGATCCTAACACTACTCTGTAATGATGATACATGAGCTCCCAACTCTTACTCCAGAAGTGGTGTCATACTGAACTTTAATATGAAATGTAACGAATAAAGTTATATTATGAGATCCGCCGTTTCGTAATTAACTTTTGACGATTTAAACGAAATTCAGCTTGATTCATAGTAGTTACGGTTGAGTCGCCTTTTTAGTTAATAGAATCAATGTTAATACAAAAATTGTCATTGATAACCAGACATATTTAGGAAACTTGACAACTAATTAACCCAAATTATTGAAGTAAATTGTTGGGAAATCATCATTCAAAACTAGATTTATTCATCCATTAGTTCAAATAACCAATTTAATTATTAGATCACAAAAATTGAATATGATTTCCTCTTTACTTTTACATTGACTTAACAATATCATGATAAAATTACCATAATTTATCTAAGTAATAAAGTTCATAGTTGTTTACTTCTTCTTATTAATTTTCAAATATATGCAATATCACTTATTATCTGATGATCATTCATCTCATCAAAATAATTAATATACAGAACAGATTATATAATTACTCAAGCTTTAACTATTCTACACACACAGAGATATATTCATAAAAGTACACACGTGTCTCCTTCTAACTTTAGCAATGCAAAAAAAATAAAATGACACGTGATTATGATATTTATGTTTCATTTTCATGAATCATACATATATTATGCAATAACAAATATACAATTATGATCCGATTAGAAATAAATTCTTGGAACTCTATGCAACTCTATGCAACCTTACTAATAATACATGATCGTATTATTATGATTTTTGTAAATATTTCTTATGACAAAAAAATCCGTTCAAATTCTTCACCGTATAGTAGTGGAATAGTTTATTGCCTTAAAATAGACCACATTTATAGGTGATAAATGATAAACGTATTCATTTCCGAACTGATCATGCTGAAAGCGTTGAAAATGAAAG